ATAGGAGTCTTATATTTATTACAAAGTTATTAGTATAACTAAATAAAGAATAAATAAAGAATAAATAATAGATGTAAACTTATGGAAATTACATGTATGAAGAAATATTAGGCTTCTTAAATTTTCAGTAATATTTATAGGCCTCTATTAACATAGCCTTTTATCTGTTTTATTTTATCTACTTCAAGAACTTGACTTTAAAAAATATCTTAACTTACTTATAATTTTCTTCTTTTCCCATTACTGTTCAGCATTTTTATCGAGAAACAAATGAGCAACCTGAAGGATCACTGCATGCAGCAGCCATTTTGGAAAATAACACAGGGAGCCCAATTCCAAGTTTTCAAATATGGAGCCCGGTTAGATTTTTCATAATGCGCTTTTTATTCTATCCTTTTTATCATTTTTTAAATCTTTTTTGTTTGTTTGTTTGTTTTGCTTTGTTGTTGTTTTTTTCTCTTTTTTTTGTCAACTGGTCTCTCTGTGATAAATCTCAATAATTATTTCATTTCTATAAGTGTTTTGGTATCGTTAAAGGATATGGTTAGTTATGCATTTCTTGCAGTAGAGGAACCCTCCCCCCCCCCCCCCCCCCCCCCAAATGTACATAAAAGAATTTTGCAGACTTCTATAATTTCTGCTATTTGGGCTTTTTGTGGTAAATCAATGATGTTTTCATGATACCGCATCTCAGGGAGGATGGCACATCTCAGGGTGAAGGATGACATATCTCAGGGAGAAGGATGGCACATCTCAGGGAGAAGGATGACACATCTCAGGGAGAAGGATGGCACACCTCAGGGAGAAGGATGGCACATCTCAGGGAGAAGGATGGCACACCTCAGGGTGAAGGATGACATATCTCAGGGAGAAGGATGACACATCTCAGGGAGAAGGATGACATATCTCAGGGAGAAGGATGGCACACCTCAGGGAGGATGGCACATCTCAGGGTTAAGGATGACATATCTCAGGGAGAAGGATGGCACATCTCAGGGAGAAGGATGGCACACCTCAGGGAGAAGGATGGCACACCTCAGGGAGAAGGATGACACACCTCAGGGAGAAGGATGGCACATCTCAGGGAGAAGGATAACACACCTCAGGGAGAAGGATGACACATCTCATGGAGAAGGATGGCACAAAAAGGATTGCTTCACCC